CACTTGAGCCACAGGTGCCGAGCCTAATTTTTTGAAATTATTAAGGCCATAGTTGTTAGATTTTTACAAAATAATGTACTTTTTTTTTTTTTTTTGAGACAGAGTCTAGCTCTATTGCTGTGCTAGAGTGCCGTGGCCTCCACCTAGCTAACAACAACCTCAAACTCCTAGCATCAAGCAATCTTCCTGTCTCAGCTTCCTAAGTAGCTAGGACCACAGGCATATGCCAGCATGCCTAGCTAATTTATCTATATTTTTCAGTAGAGATGGGGTCTCACTTTGCTCAGGTTGGTCTCGAACTTCTGAGATCGGGCACTCCACCTACCTCGGCCTCCCCAAATATGCCCAGCCCTGACATACTATTTGTGACTCAAGTGAAGAAGTCAACAGAATTTGCTTGGCTGAAGATGGTAAAATAATTTTTGATCAAATCTAAGTTCATCTCCCTAAATCACACAGGTCCCTTCTGATCTTAATCATGACATCAATTCATTCCAAATTTCTTTTGGAGGAGGCAGAATGATATAACAAAAGGGGCTTTAGAGTGAGACACGCTTGGGTTTAAATTCCAGTTTTACCAGCTGCTAGCTGTGGAACCTCCTATAAGTTAATGAATACCTCTGTTTCAGTTTCCTCATCTATAAAATAGAGATAATTTATCACAGAAATGAAGATTAAATTAGTGCCATACATAAAGTACTTGGTGTAGTACCTAACACATCGCATGTGTCCAACTAATATTAGCTCTTTCCCCTTTCCTAAGTTCACTATGGACTTAGTGAGTGTTCCACTAAAAATTGGGTCAATTAGTGAGGGTTCTAGAAGGATGCACTCTTTCCCTCCTTTCTCTGAGACAACATACAACTGGGTTGTTTAATCATACATGACCAAGCCTCTGGATCAAAGTTCTCTTCTGTAGTCACGGATGGCTAAAGTAGACAATGCCACAATGCCTCTTCCACTGGATATCATTTGAAGAATATGCAGCTGTTATAGACCTATTAATTGGAGAATACAATGAAAGGTTCACTGACTTTGGGAATCATGACATCACACTCAAGTTAGCATTTCAGACTCACCTAGTTGGTATCATAAAGGCATCTAAAGAACTACAGATGAAAT